TCTTCTTCTTCGTCGTGTCTTCTTGCAGGTGCGCGGCGGCTTCTTCAACCTCAGGTCCGCTATGGCGGACTATCTCCCTCGGCTGCCACCTCGGCTATGGCGCATGAGGCCCTGCATACGACGGCGCGCATGGAATAGCGGGTACCAGCTCCGATACCAATGCAATCAGACTCGTTCTCAAACACACTTTTCATGCATGTAAACAGCAACGCAGCATACTGGCGACATGTGGCAACTCAAAAACTCGGAGATATGGCTTTCAGATACGAGTTCACTCTCAATTAGCTATGGCGACTTCAGCGCCCAAACATCTCACTGTTCACATGCACGGGATCACCCTGGATATCCCACACGCATCACYCTAACACTCGAGCACACACACACACTCACTACTAACTACGGCTATGGCAGCTGTCGCTGCATCTAACCTATCGCTATRCTAACTCCCTCTCTCTTGCCCACTGCGTCCTCCGGGCTCATCTGCAGACCTCCTTGCACAAGTCGCTGTGGCAACGCTTCCGCATGGCTCACGCAGGAATGAATGAATGGGCGCTGCCTCTTGATTTATACTTCAGAAACTCGTTGGTCTGCCCTTTGCCATCTGCCCTTGGTGCTCACAGTCCCCCTGTGGTACTTGCTGGACCGGACTGGGACTGACTAGACCTTCCGCTAACTGACTGTGGACTCACCGCCATCCTACCGATGTTGTACTGGTGTTGCACTGCGGTTTAGTCCACCACTTGCCTCGCCACCTGACCACTTGCCCACTTGCCTATCTTCTAGAAGGTCTACAGCTAAGCTTCCAGAACTCACTAAGACTCCTACACTATAGACCTACAGATCGAACCCCTGCTGTCTATGGACCTACGACAGGTCTACCAACTGCCTACGAATACACAGGTCGCAGGTTCAATTCTCGGGGTCTACATAGATATTGTACATGGGTAGGGTGAGGCCTAGGGATCGAACCCTGGGTACTGCAACCGCTACTGCTAAAAGGTAAAAACCGTTTCATATTCTTCTTTCTTTTGTTTGAGAGGGGCGAAATAGAGAACGCAATTCGGGTCTAGCGTAGCCAGTTAGCAGCCGTGCCAAGAAATTCAAGAAACAGTTGGGACTCAGCGGGAGTAGGAATTTTGAATTTGTGAGCGCGTGGCGGTTTTTGAAATTTTGCGCACCTCGTAAACCTGTTCTCCCGCTCTGCATCCCCGCGCCATCTTCCGTTCTTGCTGTGCATCTCCCTCCTGCATGTCCCTTCGTCTTCCCTCTAAGCGAAGTCTGATCCCCTCCTTCTCCTTTCTTGGCTGTCTGATTAGGATGGTCGGGGCAATGTGGTGGTCTCGGGAAGCCCACCACACTTCGACGACCACCCCAATCACGCAGACCATTCGGCTCACCTCCTTCGATCCTTCTGGAACGTTTGCCCTTCTGCTGCCCCGATCATCTACACCCCGCGCTTCGCGCACCCTCTCCGCCGCCTTCCGCATTATAGATTCTCGCAACCCTTTCCTCTCACTCTCTTTGATCTCGGCTGCAAGCTGCGCAAGCTATGCGCGAAGCCCGCGGCGCCGGAAAGGCTTGACGTGCCCCGTGGTGGGCGGAGTGACAGTGGGTGGCGGAGTTCGCGGTGGACTTGGGGTAAGGCAGTCGGAGGGACTGAGTGGTGGTGGAGATCAGACACCGACAGCGGCAGGGCCTTGTGGCTATGGTTGTCGGTGGTTTGACGGATTGTGGACTGGGCCCGGAGTGGCCAGTTGAGAGAATTCTGTATTTTGAAGACGAAGCTTTTTCTCCATTGCTGCTTTGTCCCCGTGTGATGTGTGCAAGTTCCCCAATATGGGGATAGTGTATTGTACGCCTTCTCGGGTATGGAAGTCTATGGATGTGAATGTCTCAGTAAGGGCTGATGATCATAAGGTACCGTGTGTTGATGGCTGACATGAGTGCATGAATGTGTCGGTCCGTTCCGTCTCCCTCCCTTTTTGATTAATTGCCCTTAGCCCGCGCGAGAGTGTGTAATACGCGCCAACCTCCTCTCGCCGTCTCTCTCTCTCTCTCTCTCTCTCTCTCTCTCTCTCTTCGTGCGCAAGTCGGGACTCCCAAGTGGAGGCGGATACTTTCAGAGGGATCGGCCAGCCACGTCTGCGCGAAGCGGTCGACCCCTCTCCCCAAGGGTTCCCGACGCTGCGTTTAGGTGGAGGTTAGCTGGGTGCATCGTTCTTCGGCGGTGTTCGTCGATCTTGGCATGGAGTCAGGTTTCGTCTCGACGAACGAAAGCGTGGGTCGTGGCCCGATCTCGGACCTTGTCTCAGAGCGTCGCAGCGCGCTTCCGCCCTTCCCGATCGCAGACGCCGATGGCATATACTGCGATGCGGACGTGCGCAGTCTGCTGCGGCGCACTGAGCCAATCCATCTTCATAAACCGACCCAGGCGTGCCACATAGGCGGGAGTGGGTTTGTGCTGATTGAGCGATTTGCTTCCCCGCCCTTAATTTTTTTGCCGTACACAGACCTCACTGGGTTGCCCTGGTCCGCTGTGCACGCCACCTGGCAACCATGGTTTAATTGTCACTGGTGTCGCCAGGGAGACTCGTGCTCGTGGCGACGGTTAGTCCTGGGGTACGAAGGGGCTACTCGATTCCCCAAACTCTCCCGCAATGCGGGTGCGCTCCCCGCTCATTTCTGAACTTGGGTCCCATCGACCTGCCCAACCTCAGGTGAGCCAGTGCCGCGTCGTCCGCACGGACTCGACGAGTCTGACAACGAAGCCTGAACCTGTCCTTGGGGCCTTCGCCCCCAAGGGCCGCGCGAACCATGCACCTCGGGGAACGGAACTTTGTCCCCGTCGGCTTCGTTTCTCTTCTCCCCCCTCCCCCCTCTCCTTTTATGTTTTCTTTTCTTTTCCTATGGGGGAATGTCGGTCAGTCCGTAGGACGCCGTCGTTCGCCCCCGACGACAGCTCAAGCCCCAGCCTGGGCACCTCGGCCTGAAGCAAGAGTCCCCCGTTTCGACCGGGTGGCTCAACCCCCATCACTAAAAATCCTCGGCCACGCCCCTAATAACTTTGATTGGCGTCCGAAGAACGGAACGCCGCGCGGGGCATGAGGTTTGCGCATCACAAACTACACCAATACTTTGAAGTTCCCCTAGTGTGCCTCTATCCATGCCTTCTCTAGGAATTAGAGATATTCTGTGCCTAGAGCTGGCCAAAACGAGACCCAAAACTCCTTGGATAGCCCGTCCAGTCCTGGGGTCTTCTTCGACTTCATTGATTGCAAATTCGCAATGCTTCATAGACTTCTTGTTCCGAGACCGGCCTGTCCAAGGCCGTCGCTTGTTCTATTGAGATGGTCTTATCTAAGTGAGTGAGGAATTTAGCTCTTGCACATGAGGTTTCATGGTGTGAGTAGTCCTGTTCCTTGGATGTGTAGAGGTTTTGAAAGAAAGCTGCTGCTGCTGCTAGCATCTGCTGTGGGTTTGATGTCAGTCCCTGTTCCGTCTGGAGTTTTTATATGCTTGCGTTCCTTGCGTTTGTCTTGATTCTGTTAAAGAAGTATTTGGTCATTCTCTCGCCCTCTTCCCGTTCCTTCATTCGGGCTCTCATCCTCAAGCCCTTGTTCCTCCATCCCTCCCATTCGGTCATCTCCTGCCTGGTTTGTTCAAAGACTTTCATATAAATGATTCCCAGGGTCGCTTAGGAGATTCCTTTCTGGGGCAAGCTGTATTTTTCCTACCCTATTCTCTTCTCTCTATCTTGTATCTACCTCCCCCTAATTACCTACCTACGTGACTTCCGTATCTTTCTGCCGAGTTGGGTTGGTAAAGGTTACGGGTGCGGAGGAGGGTCATGAGTAGGGAGGAGAGCTTGGGTCTAATTATCTATAGCCTACCTATCGCTGCTCTGTGCGGGGAGCAGTACCCAAGCTCCTAACGCCTGGTGGGGGCTGGAAAGCCCAGCTAATACTTCCATGACCAGCCAGGAGGGGCAAGCCATGTATCTCAGCTGGTGACCGCGAAGCATGCTGCAGGCGGCCGCCACTGGTCAAATTTTAACCATCAGCCCTTCTCTTCAAATGGACTCTTCACAGTAAACCGAAGGCTTCCTTTCGATCTGGCAGCCAAAAAGGCCAAGGGGGGTTTTGAAACGCCGATTACAGAGAGGAGTTAGGCAAATCAGAGAACTATTCATCACAGGGGTCGAGTGGTGGTACATCCTTCTTGATACAAAAGCAATCAATGCTGCTGTCTCAGCCTTCTTGATATAGAAGCGATCAATGCCGCTGTCTGAGGTTCTCCAGACCATAGTGGCTTGTTAAGACACACACACACACACACACACACACAGAATTGTGACAGAACAAGAAAACTGAAGGAGTTTCTGTTAAAATTGTCCTTTGTGAAACAGTTTTCACCTTTGGCAGTAGCCGATGCAGATCCCAGGGGTCGATCCCTTGACCTCAGCTTACCTGTGTACAGTATCTGCACAGTTCCCTGGAGTTGAACCCGTGACCTGCACGATAGCCAGTGGTAAGTAGGTCGCCGTAGGTTGTAGGCTGTAGGGAGATTCGAACTGTAGACCTATAAGGTAGGAGTCCAAGTAGAGTCCAGAG